CTCTCCGATTCGACTTGATTCCTTCTTTCAGTTATCTTAATTCTAATGCATAGAAACTGACCATTAATAGCATTTCCCTTTTCCAGGCAGTCTGTGATGATTACGCCCACAGGATAAAAAAAGAAAAAAAATAAGCCATCAACTTGCCAATAGATGCTGCCAACAGATGATAGCAGTATGGACCGAACCGGAACTAATGTCTATGGACTTAGCTATCTGCTGAACGGTAAGACGTCTGTCATCCAAAACCATACGGTGAATGTTATCAACTTGTTCATCAGTGGTTGAGGCTTGTGGACAACCTGACTGAGGGTCATATTCTTTGCTGTCCCTGCTCCGCTTGAATTCCGCAGCCCTCTTCTTCACACTTGCATAAGAAGGAGAGTCCTTAGCAAGTGTCTGTACCATGTCCTCATGGATTTCCTTGGCTGCCATATCTTTCTTTTGCAGATACTTTATGACTACTCCAGCCTCTGTTTTGCCTATTTTTACATTTGTCGCACACTTTTCATCTTTGTATGGGTCTCAGCTGCACTAAAATTAAGACAGAAATCTGAATTAGTTTATTTATTTTTTTTATGTATTTGCCACAACAAAAATGTTCAGCTACGTTTTTTCTTTCTAGGTTAGACATAGAACTTTTTGAACGATAGTCGTATGTCCTAGAATTGTGTTACTATGTCGTAAATTATTGCTTTACTATTGCGCTAGCATAGGTCAGTGACGTGAGTGCTAAATCACGGAAATCGCGGCTACGTTCCGACACTGAAAATCACTTTACATTACGACGTATCGTAGGAACGGAACTCTGTCGTAAGTCAAGAACCCCTGTATATCGACGAGATAGAATAATGACATTGCTATGAAAATTACAAAAGTAAATTTATTTCTCATTAAACCTATGTGATCTGATTGATGAATGAAATGACCGTAATCTTGCAGCTATATCACTATTGAAACACATGTTCACATCTGATCATGGAAGTTGAGCAATATTGAGACTGGACAGTACCTAAATGGGTGATCTTATGGAAATACCACGTTCTGTGAGCTTGCATGTGAAGGTGATGTGATAGATAATTTTCCACTTATGCAACTTGCCTCGTACGGCGGCAAAATACGCGAAGCGACGGAAGAACAAATTGCGCGGCTGAAAAAGAATACATTATATATATATATATATATATATATATATATATATATATATATATATATATATATGTGTGTGTGTGTGTGTGTGTGTGAAGAAGATGAAGATGTTACCTTAACAGTCATTTATTAAAAGATTACTATCAGTAAACTGTTATATTTTAAAAAATTCTTTTGATATGTTCTCTATGAATGTGTTAATAAATACAGTATATATTAAATATACTGTATTTATATTAAATCCCTAAGTTATTTGTAAAAGAGTTAAATATTCAAATTGCTAGCAAGCATCAAATTAATTTCTTCGTGTTTTTTTAACATTTAAATTACTATCAAACATTAAAATCTATTTTTTTTTATATAAATTGCTAAAAATATACCACTCCTCTTCTTCCTACGTAAAACCTAAATACATCTTCTTTCTCTTTACTTCCCCCTTCTTTCTTTTTTCTTTTTTCTCTCTTCTCCCTTCCCATTTCAATATATCACTTCCGTTAAGTTAACCGTTTAAATTGGTCAAGGTCAGGTCCGTCCTCCTGTTTGAAAGCAATACTAAAATAAACACTCTCTAAACTCGACCATGTCTCTCACATCACTCCTCGCTACCCTCTCTGTTAAATTACATAAACTTAATACTACCCGTCAAAAGTGTGAATTTTCATTTCATCTTTCGTTTCATTTTTTGGAAGTGATATCTGATGATCCAGCGTCCTTTAAAAGGCCTCTGGTGAAATAAATTATTATAATAGAACCTTAAAGTGGTCTGTTTTTCTTTAAAATATTAGCTCTGGATTTACATTGAGCTCTCAGGATTTCATCCTCCTTGGGACTACCCATAGGGATTACCAAGTTTTTCATAACTTAAATATATATATATATATATATATATATATATATATATATATATATATATATAATTTTATTCTTCTTCATCTATATATATATATATATGTATATATAAGTATATATATATATATTTATATATATGTACATGCATATACATGTATATATATATATGTATAGATATGTTTATATATATGTATACACACACACATATATATATATAATGTATTCTTCTTCATATATATATATATATATATAAGTATAAATATATATATATATATGTATAGATATGTTTATATATATGTACACACACAAACACACACACACACACATATATATATATATATAAACATTGCATTTTGGCCACCGTCAAGCTAGCCCAGTTGTACTTGTATTATATATTTCGTATTAATTTCACTTTAAATTTAATTCTAAACTTAAATATATTCTAATTTATTTTTACTTCAATGTCTAAGTTAATCGTAATATAAGTTAATTTTAATTTGATGCTTATTATTATTATTATTTATCCAGTATTTTTTAGTCATTGTTACCTGATCTCTTTAATAATACCTTATGATTAATATAATAATATAGAAATTTAAAATGTTTAGACGGTTCTTTACATTCGTAAAAGCAATACGCTAAAATTATCAGTTTCTCTTGCCCGCTTATTTCTGGCGGGGAGACTCTGACTGACATTGTATCTGTCACGTTTCGATGCAAGCTTATCTATATCTACAGTTTTATCTTTCTTTGGGCAATAATATCAATTCTCATTTCCAATTTAATTTACTCTAATTTGGAGGTTAGTTTTATTTTACCTCTAGTTCTATCTTGATTTCACTATCTATTTATTTTTAAAAATTTATTTTGTGTATTTATTCATTATATTATTTGTATTATTTTTCTCATTAATAACGGTTAATAATAAATAAAATAATACAAAAATTTAAAATATATTTAGTATTCTAATTTATACTGTAAAGTTAGTTTTGTTCTGTATAAGTATAATTAATATAACAATATAAAGGTTTAAAACTTTGTTTAATATTCTAATTTATATTGTAAAGTCTGTTTTATTAAATATTGTATTACTTCTTTACATTCAATGAATAATTTTCTTTGAACATAGGGAATTTTTGCCATAGAAACATAAATCTAATAAACTATGTTACCGTTTAAATTCGAATTCTCTGATTCGACGGAATTTCATTGGTTGAATTTGTTGCTTCTTTGTTTCTCTTACCTTTCTCCTCTTTTTTTGTCTTAAACTGAAATGCATTGATTTATATCGTGTAAACATTTTCTTATCTCTTATGTCCTCAACTTTCTTCTCCTTACAAATAGGAGAATGTTGAATACTCGTCTCAATTTTTATTTCCTTTTCTTGGACTTTTTTCTTTTTCTTCCTCTTCCCCTTCCCTCTTTCGCTTTTATTAATCACTTAGCTTTCTTTCTCCATATATGAATCCTTTTATCTTTTATGGAAAGTGTCCCGAAAGACGGAAGTCGGAGTTGTGCTTAGTTAACTGTATTTCCGAAAAAATATTTTAGTACCATCATGATTTCCCACCTGAAGAAACGTTAAGTTTTAACGCTGAAACAAGATATACAGTTTTGTAGTGGGTATGTGCATGTTCTAATGTAACACTGCATAATAAATAAATATTTATTGCTCTACTTTTGTATTGAGCCCTGTTTTAAATTAATGTTTTGAACGCTGAATTTTACTCTTCGTTCTTTTACATTTGTATATATATATATATGTCTATGTGCGTGTGTGTGTTTGTGTGTGTGTAATACACACACACAAACACACACACATGTTTTGCGGGTATACACACGCCCAAAACATTTTTAAAAAAAAGCATAGCATGATTAAAAAAAGGACCAAAACTTGATAAAAACAAAATTTTATTGTCAAAATATTTATGGTATTATTAATTGGAAAGACCAAAGTATTTTTTTATTATATTACTAAATCTTTTAATCCTTTCAAGCACATTCGAAATTTTAGTTAAAAATTTTGTTTTTCATGCATCAGCGGGTGGGTCTAGGCTTAGTATAATGATTTTTACTGTCTTTTTTGGCGCTAAAATACATTGTGTTGGTAATTCTTGAAAAAATCAAATCATTGTCGGATTTTAATGAAATTTTCAGAACCTATTCACAAATGAATCAAATTATTTTAGTTTTTTTCGATAATCTTGATCAGAGTTATTTTTGCATCTCTTACCCGGAACCTACTTAATTTTATGTAATTTTGAGAAATTAATATTTCAGCTTCTTCATATTTATATTAGTTAAAAGCAAGATTCCTTGGAGAATTTAAATTTTTGTCAAACAGAAACTACATTCAACGAAAATCTGCTTTGAATCGTAAAGTAACAAAATACAATAAAACTATTAAAATATTTACTCAGTAAAGTTTGTAATTGCTTTTATAAATAAGATATATTAAGAACACTATTGTCTGAAGAAAAGAAATTATCGATGAATAATGAATTTATACAAGAATTGTTTTCATTTATTAAAAATGTTAATTTGGAAAATTTATTAAGTTTTAAATCTTTTAAAATTTTGTGTTAATTTCAGGCTTTTAGATGATATAATCATTAAGTGAAAAATATATTCACTAATTATAAATAGAAATGCATGATACCAATCAACATGTACCAATATCTTTAGAGAAATTTTGAATTTTTTTCGTATGTTTATAAATGTGCCCATTTTTGTAAGTACGGAGAACTATACACGACATTATCAGAAAATTTGAGCGACGACTATAGCAAATTTAAAGTTAAAATTTGTAAAATTTAATAAAATACTAATTTACGGAGAATATTTTCTTAAATTTTTAAGATTACTGAGTACTTAAAAATGATATAAAATGGCGCTCACGTCATTTTCTTCAATTATGTTTTACAGATAAAATTTCTATAGAACAAAATTAGACAAAAACCACGGTTTTAGTAATTAGATTTGCAACAATCTCAGCCATTCACCATCTGTGTAGATAGATAGATAGATAGATAGATAGATAGATAGATAGATAGATAGATAGATATGAATAGACTGAGATAGATAGATAGATAGATAGATAGATAGATAGATAGATAGATATGAATAGACTGAGATAGATAGATAGATAGATAGATAGATAGATAGATAGATAGATATGAATAGACTGAGATAGATAGATAGATATGAATAGACTGAGACAGATAGATAGATAGATATATAGATAGATAGATAGATAGATAGATAGAATGATAGATAGATAGATATGAATAGACTGAGAGAGATAGATAGATAGATAGATAGATAGATAGATAGATAGATAGATAGATAGATAGATAGATATGAACAGACTGAGTTAGATGCCCGGACAGACAACGAGATAACCCTCTATACGTGCGTGAATTCATATCCAGTTAGCTGCGCCTTTCTCCAAGGATTCATGTGAATATCCACGCAAGCGCAAACGATTTTTCAGCATTGTAATTTTGACTTTCGTCCCCCGTTTTTTTTATTTTTTTTTTTGTTTTGTTTTGTTTTGTTGTTACGCTATAAAATACACCATGTGACAAAATCGCCCTATCATTTGTCGCAGACTGCGCATGCTCATAAGTGTTATTGAAAGACTGCTTTGGAGAAAGGGTGATGTCATGCAAAATGGGTTGACACAGAAAATCAAAGCTCTAAATAAGGAATAGCCGGCTTCGATCAATCACTTTGCAGTATTAAACGCCAACACATTCTGCAACAGTTACCAAGCTGAATGCATTAACCTGCCGTTGTTAATAATTGCAAAGAAAGACTGCACTGAAAGAGGAAGAGTGATTGAGATGGAATATTGTAAAGTATGCATTAATAACTATTGAATAAAGAAAAGATATAAAAAGGTTTGAAGAAAGACAGACGAGTCAAGGCGTTGGTTGGAGAGTACTCTAAGAATATGAGTAACATTGATTCCAGGAATTAGGGAACAGGGAAAATCGCAGCTCGTTACAATATTAGAAACGAGAAAAATTAAAAGATACCAAACAAAAAGAAAGAAGTTCAGCGTTTCTTTAGAGAAAGCAATCCCGGCAGTTAACGTTTCAAACTTCTTTTTCAACAAAAGTGGCTTCTGTCTCATCAGATACAGCTATTATTATTATTATTATTATTATTATTATTATTATTATTATTATTATCTTTTGATTTCTGGCGTTTACACATTTCTTTCCGGGTCCCGCCCAGGGACCTAAGGTTAGAAATGGCATCATGACACTTTCCACTGACAAAAAAAAAAAAAATTACATTGATAAAGCTCTTCGGGAAGTCTGGGCTGTACTTGTCATAACAATTTTTTGTATCTCCTTGAGGCATGGACTTCCAGGAATCCCTTCAATCTACTGCAATCTTTTCCAACCAGTCCTAGGGCTCCAACTACAACAGTGATTGTTGATGTTCACATATGCCACATTTTCGAGGTATCTATTTCAAGGTCCTTGTATTTTGACAGCTTTTTTAATATCTTCAAAGATACATTGCAGTCAGCAGAGACTGTCATATCAATAAGTAGGCACATTTTTTGTTTGTGGTCTTTAATAACAATTTTATTATTATTATTATTATTATTATTATTATTATTATTATTATTATTATTATTATTTTATTTCCTTTGATTTCTGATGTATACACATTTCTTTTTGAGTCCCGAGCAGAGACCTAAGGTCAGAAATGGCATCATGATATTTTCCACTGAGCAGTTTTGAAAAACAAAACACATCACATATATTTTATATAGACAAAGCCCTTCGTAAAAATTGTAGGCAGTACTTATGAGTACATTTTTTTTGTATTTCTTTAAGGAATGGACTCCCAGAGATTCCTTCAATGAGTCTATTGGAATCTTTTTAGAGGTCTCCAACTACAACTGGAATTGTTAATGTCCTCATGCATCACATTTTTGAGATATCGATTTCAAGGTTGTTGTATTTTGATAGTTTTTTTTTTTTGTTTTTTAAATTCTTCAGAGTTACATTGTAGTCTGCAAGCGAGAAATGCGAGAAATGCGAGAGAAGAAACTGTTAGCTTTGAACTTATGAAGATGGCAAAACAATTATGATACTGTTTATGCAATTAAACATGTCAAAAATGTAACAACAACCAGCATTGTTTTTAATATGCCTTTCATCGCCCCCACCTTTTTATAAATCATTTACAATGGATGAATAATAAACGGAAAATTTACAATTAAAGCGGCAGTACAGGAATTTCTATTAATATTTAAAATAATAATAATAATAATAATAATATTTGTTATTATAGACCGCAAACAAAAAAAGTGTCTCCTTATTGATATGGCACTCCCCTGCTGACTGCAATATATCTTTGAAGATATTCAAAAAGCTGTCAAAATACAAGGACCTTGAAATAGAAATCTCGAAAATGTGGCACATGGGAACATCAACAATCCCTGTTGTAGTTGGAGTCCTAGGACTGGTTGGAAAAGATTGCAGTAGACTAATTAAAAGGATTCCTGGAAGTCCATGCCTCAAGGAGATGCAAAAATTTGGTTCTGACAAGTACAGCCCACACTACGAAGGGATCTATCTATGTAATATTTATTTTTGTCAGTGGAAAGTATCATGATGCCATTTCTAACCTTAGATCCCTGGGCGGGACCCGAAAAGAAATGTGTAAACGCTAGAAATCAAAGGTTATTTATTATGTCCTGCTTCTGGTCGTTAAAATACGCCAAAGGATCTGATTAAGAGAAAAATAGCAACAACAACAACAACAATAATAATAATAATAATAATAATAATAATAATAATAATCACAAGACCAGATTCTTTTCACTTGGAACTTACAGACATATCATACATAATATTGTGGATGCAAAATGCAGGTTCTGTGACAAATATCAGGAAACCATAGATCATCTAATTTCAGGATGTTCTGTATTTGCGCCAAAAGAATATAAAAAGAATCGTCATGATAGAGTAAAACAATACTTACACTGGACAATGTGCAAGCCACACCACTACCTGTTATAGATCTTCCTACCAAGTCTGTGGAAAATCTATGGCAGCTAGTGGTGTGGTTTGCACATTGTCCAGTGTAAGTATTGCCCCACTCTATGCTGACGATTTTTATTACCTTAACAGTGACCATAACTGAAAATCGAAATATAATAATAATAATAATACATTGTGATGTATCTTTGAAGATCTTACACAAGCTAGTTAGATAGGTCATTCGCAGTTTTCAGCATGCCCTGTGAGTATCAAATTTTCTAAGCCCCCTTTCCTCGTTATATCCCGTAGAAATCTGACTTGTTTCTTTCTGATTTGAAGTAGAATGTGGTCCTTTTTATTTTCATCATCTCTATATCTTTATCGCTGCGCATATGTTCAGTCTATGGTATCCTTGGTATCCTATTGTGGCTTCAAGTTTCTTCTGCTTCATTGTAGAGATTGTCGAGCAATCACTACTATATAGGAGGACTGATATTACATAACATTTCAGTATACTTTTCTTTGTTTCTCTTGCTTCAAATGTGAGGAGATTTTCCTGCGTACACTGCCTTATAGGAAGACTGATTTTACGTAACAGTGGAGTAGACATTTTTCTGTATTCCAATGCGCCTTCCGATTTCGGTGATATATGATTTCCTAGATATTTAAATGGATATTACTTAACAGTTTAATATTATTTTCTTTCTTTTTAACGAAAGTTCCCTGTTTCTTAAAACTTTGCTTAGCTTTTGGAAGGCATCTTTCTCCATTCCAATTCTACTTCGGATTTCGGTGTCACATTTTGCGTCCTCTTTTACAATACTTCCTAGATATTGAAATTTCTGTACTCGCTTGATGTTGTCTTCTCAAATTCCTAGTCCATACCTTGGACTGGCCCTTTTTGCTGACAACCATTTTGTCTTCTTATAATTGATCATTAATTTTTTTTTCTCTTTTCCCTTAACTACCTACTGTAGGTCTTACTTTAATTTACTTTCTGTCTCTGCTATCAAAAATGTGTCATCTTCATATCTTACATTGTTAAGATGGTGGCCGTCAATAATGAGTCCAGGTAGGACTTCTCTCAGGGTTGCCTCACTGTGTAAGTTGAATAAGTCCGGTGAGAAGACACATCTTCGTCTTACGCCCCTTCCTTTCTACCTAGTGTGATTAATTGTCTCATCATCTCACCCACACATCCTGGCCCTGATTTCGTTCATTCTGATGTCCTCCCACATTGCTGCAAATATAACTAATTTTATTTCTCTCTTAATAAAAATTATTATTATTACTACTACTATTATTATTATTATTATTATTATTATTATTATTATTATTATTATTATTATATGTGTATGTTATGCTTCCTGCTTTGTATCCTATAGAGCCAGGTCTAAACTATGGTCATTCGGCCCTAGAGGAGAATTGTCATTTAACTGATAGCACTTTTTTTTTAGTATATTAGATGTACCTAGTAGGGTGATCTGTAAGCTGGACTTGTGCGCACAATTTTTCTGTATTTCTTTAAGGACATGGCTACCAGCAGCCCCTGCATGCGTCTAACGGAACCTTTTCCAATCAATCCGAAGGCTCCAACTACAACTGGAATTATTGATCTCCTTACCACATTCGTAAGATTTCCGCTTCAAGATCCTTGTATTTTGATAGTTTTTGAGGATCTTTAAGGGTACAGTAGTCTCAGGGAAATTCCATATCAGTAATTAAGAATTTTATCATTATTATTTCCTTCCGAGTACCAACCAGAGAACTAGGGTCAGTAATAACTTAGTGACATTTTCCTCTGTCATTTTTTGTAAAAAACAAAACCAAAACTAATATCACACTCATTTTACATATATAAAGCTCTATGTAATCCGTGTGTCGTATTTTTTAGTATAATTTTTTTTGTTGTCTTTCTTTCCAATCAAGGCAATGGATCCACCTATAACTGGAATTATTGATGTCCTATGGTACCACATTTTTGAGATTTCCATTTAAAGATCCTTGTATTTTGATAGTTTTTAAAGTTTTTCAAGGATATATTGCAATCTGCCGGAAGTGCCAGGCCAATAAGAATAATTTTTCTGTGTGCATGAAAATTATTATTATTATTATTATTGAGAATATTGTTACCACATGTTCCGGTGACCCTGCTGTATATTTGGAGATTCTTGATAAAATCCAAAGAAGAATCGGCAATATTATTGTTCCTGGTCTAAAGTCGCGGTTTTTGTTACTTCCCCACAAGTACGATTGATTGGTCGGATATGTAGCTAACATTCACCACACCATTTTTTTTTTTTAATTTCAGGATGTCGTATCGTTGTGCAGAGTAGTTTAAACTTTCATTAAAATGTGTATGTGTATGAATAGATAAACTTATGTAGAGTTAAATTGTGTGATCAGATTAAATGGAG